ACCAACACCGAAACCAGGAAAAAATAAGAGAAAAATTGACAACACAGATGAGATATAAATGTTTGTCCGTGCGCCACGGGTCGATGTCGCCCGCATGCTCCGGTGCCGCTGCTCCGTCCGGCGCCGCTGTAGTCAGCCCGAGCATAACGCCACTCGACCTGCTCCGTCCGTACACGCTCTCGTTGCTGTCCTTCCCAGTCGGTTCCTCGCTTTCTCCCTCGTTGCACTCAAGGTTCTTGGTCTGAAAAATAAAAATTCTCGCGCCGAAGGGGTCAACCAGCCCAGTTCAGCTCGTCGCCACCTGCTCCCTCCTCCTTTGATGGCGAAGCCAGGTTACTGAGGCAATGCAGCGCCCTCTAGCCAACCTAGGGCCGTGTACATAGTTCCCGTCCACCTTCTGACGGTGTCTGCCTCCGCGCACAAAAAATGAGATGGGCATCGCTGCCTACGCCGACGGCCAGAGGCCCGCGCATCTACATTTTTTCGCCTGACCCCATCAGTGCCGACCCAACTACACCACCACGCGCATGCCTCGCGGCGGATATGCGCAGCAGCAAGAAGGTTTCGGTCATCTCTTGAGGGTGAGTCTAGCCCTGCTCGCCAGAAAGACCCCCCCCTTCACTACAACCCATGTCTAAGCAAAAGCTTGTCGAGGAGCGAGGGGAAGAAGGGAGGATGGCTGCGTGCATATGTCTTCATCTTGTGCGGCCCCTTGAACATACGCTCTAGCATGTCCCCTCCGGAGGGATCCCGTGTAGTTGTTTGAACTTGCGTCTTGTTCCACCGCCTTCGCTGTGCGTTTCGCCGCCGAATTTCAGGCGGGTCTCGGTGTCATGACGTCTTCGCCATCGCCTTGCACCAAGCTTACGGCGGGAGGAGGGGGCACTGATACAAGTCTACGCTGCAGCTGCAATGTGTGTGCTTGGCGTTGTGCGGCGCATGCCGAAGTGTCCCGGCCTGGCACTTGCGTATCGATGATCAGACACCGGAAAGCTTGTGGGATCCGAACGTTCGCATCTCGAGCCGTGTGCTGGCCGTGATGGCGCTCCGTTTGACTTGGATGTACGGTCGGATGAATGAATTTGTTCTGCATGCAGGCGATAGGCAGTGGAAGTTTTTGGAGGTGCTGCGCCTGGAGAGGTTCAAGAGCAGATCCCGCACAGATCAACCAAAGCCAAGGCTGGTGTTTGACCAAGAGGGGTTTTCCTTTTGGTCATCGACGGCATGGCCGCCTTCTCTGCGACAACTTGAGTTTGGGGATGGGTTCACCGTACGGATCGCCACGCTCAAATGCCCGCCATCCCTGCAACAGCTGTGGATTGGGCATTGATGCGACGAGCATAATGCCAGGGCCAGTTGGCCGATGTCGTTGCGGAAGATGTCAGTCAGTGGCCTCTTCGATCAGCCCATCACCGGGGTCGTGTGGCCAACCTCCTTGCGGGAGCTTTCCTTTGGGAATCTGTTCAGACAACCCATCGCTCAAGTGGTATGGACCTTCCCTTCAGCGCCTATCCTTCGGGGACAGATTTGACCAACCTATCGCAGAAGTCGCATGGCCGGCGTCGCATGGCCTGCCTCCTTGGAGCAGCTTTCGTTCGGAGGTTCGTTCAACCGGCCCATTGCCGAGGTCGTGTGGCCGGCCTCCCTGCAGCACCTTTCGTTCGAGCAAAGCTTCAATCAGCCCATCACCGGGGTCGTGTGGCCAGCCTCCCGGCAGGAGCTTCTATTCGGAGATTCATTCAACTCCCCTGTCTCCGAAGTCGTGTGGCCGGCTGCCTTGCAGAAGCTGTCGTTCGGGAATTTGTTCAACTGGCCTATTGCTGATGTCGTATGGCCGGCCTCACTTAGGCAGCTTTCCTTGCGGGAAACTCTTTAACCGGCCCATTGCCAGAATAGTATGGCCGGCTTCCCTGCAGGAGCGTTCGTTCGGGGATTCATTCAACCAACCCATCAGCAGCGTCGGGTGGCCATCTTTCCTCCAACACCTTTCGCTCGGGGATAGGTTCAACTGGCCTATTACTGGAGTCGTTAAAGCAGCTGTTGTTCGGGAAATCTTTTTCCCAGCGCATGGCGGAGGGGCAGGCCTTTCTTCGAAGGGTGATGCGTAGGGAAATTTCTCTGTTACAATGGCCTGAATTATTTTTCGTCCTCTGTGGGGTCCGGTTGATGTGGTTGGGGTTGTTACAACGAATATGGTGAGGGATCAACCGCGGTGTTCCTGACTACCGCACGAGGAACAGACGCGAAATTCGCAAGCTAGCGCTGTATCTGCGACTCGAGTCTATGACGTGGTCGTATGCGCAACAGTAGGAGCGCAATAGCCGTGACAAAAAAGAATGTCATAGCCGTTCGTGTGCGCGCTATTCCGATGATGACTATACACCGGTTATTATGGGAGCATTCAGTTTCTTGAAAAAAATTGAAGTTTTTTGGCGACTGCTATCAATTTATTCAAAAACTTTTTTTCGCACGCCCTTTACAGGGGGCGAAAGGACTGGTGGAAGAGGGACGCGTCATCAGTTGGTGGTCTGAAACCTGGCGCTGTGCCTTCCATCGAAGCTAGGAGGATGTCAATGATATTCACGTCAACAGAAACTGTTGCATAGGCTCTAGAGACGTATTGTCAATGTATTCTACACAGCAGCGGCCATCGCAAGCAATTCCAACTTGTCGTACAAGTACTCTGACTTGGCCCTTCACCTCTGGCATGGGTCGTGCGCGTGTGTGTGGCGGGAGAAGGTGTACGTGTGTGGTAAGGGCAAGTGGTAGACGTGGATTGGCTGAGGTCTCGCCGCGAAACGTTTCTTCGACATTTATTTCTCGAGAAAACATTGGACAGGTTTGCTCTCCAGATCGCGCCATTATTGTCAAAAACAAAGCTCCAGCTTTTCTCGCAACTTTATGCTCCCACACAAAAGCGGTGTCTTTTCAGAATATTGACTTCGGAGCAGCTTGGCTTTTCAACAAGGAGGACGACTACCTTATTTCAGAGAGATGTATCGTGGGTTTGGGAGTTGTTCGCATTTTGGCTACGCGTTCATCACAACTTTTTGTTAGATCGCCGGTACCGCGGGACCTTCCTCCTGCTTGTCTTGTGGCCGCCTGGTTTCGCCTGGCGAACGTTTTCCCGCATCTTTCTGGCGTTCAAAACGCATCCGACATTCATCTCTCGTTCCCCCCAGCTTATTTTTCTCGTTTTTCCCGCTTACTTTCACGAAGACTTCACCTGCTTCCCATAACAATGCAACTACGCGACTTCTACCCCACCTTGCCTTGCGTGACGCGCTCGTCCTCCTTTTCCTTCCGGTAGAGAAGCGACGCCGCACGCGACAGGTTTCCCCGCGAAGGAACTCGACTATGCACGCGTACTTGCGTAGGCGCGTGTTTGAAGCGCGACAGGATGGAATTCTAGGTGATGTTGAGGTGTCTCGCTTTCTGTACAGGGAGTGGGCGTGCGCGGCGAAAGGGGTACTATGGCGGCATGCCGAGTGTGGCGGAGAGATACTCCAGAGTCGCATCAAAGTTGAAAACGACTCACACGAGTCATATCACAAGCCACATGTGTTGGTATGTCCGTACTTGGGAGGAGAAGACACGCTTTAACTCTCTCTGATTAGGCACCCGCGGGAGCGAGGAAAGGAAGGGAAGAAGTGGCCCTCCCGAATTCGGGGGAGGGGGCCCACACATGGTAGCCTTTTTCAGGCATACGCATGCTCCTGTCTACGTACCCCCCCGTGCTGCTAGCAGATCTACCATGCTCGTATCCGGACACACGAACACCCTCCCCGGTTCGTCAAGCTATTGATAAACCATCAGTGGGGCATGGATACTCCAGATCTACTTAAGTTACTCATACAACGACGGGTGCAAGGGAAACACCCGGCCATCCGGATCAAAAAAACCCTCGCCTACAAACTCAAAACATAAAAGAAACCGTCGCTATCACGAAGGATTCCAACGGCCGCACTATCAGGGCAGGACCAAGGCAGGACAGATTGGACAGGCCACGCTGATTGCACACCCGAAGCAATTGGTCAAAGAACCCTAAGCTCCCGCCGCGGGTGACGCCCCTGCCCAACGCTTCCTGCGTGACATACCATGGTCCGAGACGCGCCTAGTGCTAGAACAAAACAAAACAAACGCCAAGAAAACGAGACCAGAACCCTATATCGGCAGGTTCATCAGAGCCTTCCGGTGGTACTCCAACTTGCCCCTACCAAGGACCTTGGTCAGCATATCGGCGTGCTGCTCTTCTGTCGAGACATAATCTGCGGTGATCTTGCCCGCCTTGAAGAGCTCGCGGATGAAGTGGAACCGCACGTCGATATGCTTGCTCCTCGCCGAGCTGAAAGGGTTCTGCACCAACGCGAGAGCCCCCTCGTTGTCCTCACGGACCCTGATCGTGGCACCGCTCGTCTCGGGCGCAATGAACGACAGAACACCACGCACGAACAACGCTTCCTTCACGCCCTCCCCGGCTGCAACAATATACTCTGCCTCCGTGGTCGACTGAGCCGTCACTGGCTGTGTCTTCGTGGATGCGCACACTACGGTCCCACCCACAGTCACGGCTAGCCCCGCCGTCGAACGCCTGTCAACGGTGCTGTCGGCGTAACTAGAATCAACGAACACGTCT